CCCAGCTCTTCTCCCGCGTATCCCGCTCCCCGGCGCTGGGCGCCTCTGGCACCGATGGATTGGGGGAGCCGCAGCTCCTGAAGCCCAGACTGCTCCCCTCCCCCTGCCCCTGTTCGCCTTGCAGGATCGGTCGCCCTGTAAGACAGACACACGCGTGCACAGCCCCCCTCCCCCTTCCCGCTTGTGCAGAAACTTCTTTTTCTGTTGGGCTTTTTCTTCTCAGTGTAAAATGGAGGGAGCCGGCCCCGGGATGGCTCTGCAGCCGCGGACCCCCGGCTCCGCACCGCCCAGCCTTTAAGCAAGTGAAGGGGGGCAGGCAGGGGGAGCCCTGCACTCGCTCGACTCCACTCGTCCCCCTCGCCCGGGCCGGTCCGAGCTGCGGAGGGGGCGGTCGGCGGCCCGAGCGCCGGCGGAGCCGGGTGGGAGCGCGGGGAGCCCCGCGGCGGCACCACCTGGGCTGGTGGGACGGATCGTCGCCCGCGGCGCTTTCGCTGCCGCTTGTGAAGATTTTTATTTGCTTCCGCACAATCACGCCCACGGGCGCTGTGTGCGTGTGTGTTGGGTTGGCTTTTTTGAGGGGCTTTTTTTTTTTTGGCTTTTTTTTTTTTTTTTTTTACCTCCTTCTTCTGCTGGTGGAAAGCCCTAATTACTGCGATTGCTGATGGACCTTGGAAAGAAGGCTGCACTGGTGCCCCGCTCCGCAGTCGGACACGCTCAGCTTGCGCCGGACAGGGCGGCCGCTCGCCCGCCGCCCCCCGCCACCTCCGCGGGCCCCCGCGCTCCCCCGGCCGAGGCTCGGGACGATACCGCCCGGCTCCTGCGAGCCAGGATTTTACTTTCACGTCGCCGTTTCTCCTGCTCCGCTTGGATTACTTGGCTGCTCCCGCTCGGTGATCCCGCGCGATGGAGGTGAGTCCGCGCGGGACGCGGGGGCTCCGCGCCTCGGGGGCCGCGGGCGCGCAGGGTGGGCTGCGCCTCGGCAGGGCGCGGGGCCCCGGCGCGGGGCGGCCTCTCCTCCCCTCCCCGGCTACCGCCGGGCGCTCCCACCTCTCCGTTCTCACCCACCGCGGAGAACGCTGTTCCCCACTTGGGAAAAGCTCCCATATTTTCTGCTTTTTCCTTCTCCTTTTAAATTTCCCCCCGAAGAGAGGCTGCCTGCCGCCGGGACACTTGCGGGGCTCGCTCTGCCCGCCGCATCTTTCTGGCAGCGGCTCCTAACGCGAGTTTAAAGACATCTTTCCAAACTTCCCAAACTTTCCCGAGGAGGATGGCTATGGAGGAGCCCAACGTCGGCGCTAATGGTGGCCTGTACCTTTAAGGAGAGCTGGCTGGGGGCCAGCGGAGGACCCGGAGTCAGCCCCCCCCCCCTTTAATTTTATTCTCAGTTTCTGGAGATTATCACTCTGCATCTGCAGCGGGTCCCGCCTGGGTCAGCGCGGAGGAGCGCGACTCCTCAGGGTCCCCTTGGCGCTGCGAGGACTCCATGTTGGAAAGGCTGTTGGCTTTTTGTTGTTTGTTTGTTTTTAATTGTCAATTGTATGGTAAATGGGCTGCGCTCGGAGGGTCACGGGGAGTTCAGCGGGGCCAAGGAGCGAGGCTATCCCCGGGCGCCGAGGGAAGGACACTGTGTGCCTTCACCCCCGGGAAAACACCCCCTCTGCGCCTCCGGTGGGGAAAGCTGGGCCGGGACCCGACCCAGTGCCTTTCCCTGCAAACGTGAGACCTGGTCTTGCCCCTGCAAATGGCTGTGAAGCCGCAGCGGGGAGCAGGGGGCGGCCGGGGGGGTTCCCGCGGAGCCGCTGCACCTCCCGCGGTTTACAGCCCCCCGGAGCCGGGCTCTGGATGCCGCCTGCCCGCTGGTAGTGCTCCTAGAAAACCAGATGCCTTCGCAGGCTTTCCAGACACCCCGTGTAAAACAGGATCAGAGGCGATCCCGCGGTGCAGGATCTGTAAAAGCCTCTCTTTTCATCTCGGCAAGGAGCGCGGGCTCCGCATGGGGTGCGTTAAATACCAAAACCCAATCTCCCCGGCCCTACAAAGTTGAACTCCGATCTCCATCGCTCCGTGCTGCTGGGCAGTCTGCCTTTTTTTTTTTTTTTTTTTTTTTTTTTTTTTTTTTTTTTTTTTTTTTTTTTTTTTTTTTTTTTTTTTTTTTTTTTTTTTTTTTTTTTTTTTTTTTTTTTTTTTTTTTTTTTTTTTTTTTTT